CCCTCTCTTGGCTGCCTCTGAGCACATGCCCTCACATTGGTTACTCTGTGACACATTGCCATAAAGCGGACTGTGAGGTGTGTGTGTGACCTTTGCCAGAAATAGAACGACACACGAAGAGTAAGCGGCACACCTACATTTAACTTCAGCCATCGGAGACCCCTGCTGGCACTCCCCAGTACAGGCTGCTCAGTTCACTGACACTGGAGTGATGCAGACATCGGCATGGTCTGATTGATCCTTTAAACACACCTTCTTCTGTTCTCAGGTGTCCGATCCCATCCCGATGAAAAGGTCTAAACATGACGACCTCTCATCACAAACTCCGCTGGCCGACAGAGCGAAGCAGCACGACTGGCTGCAGTCCTTGCCAACTCCCAACAAGGTCAGTGTCAAATCAGGAGAACATGTTGGTGATCATGATGCACGACATGACACGTGATGTCATGTGAAGATGAACGGTTTGCTTTCTTTCGCAGATTTGTCATTTATCTGTTTCAGATCATCAAGCTCATTTTTATATCAGACACATAACCAGAGTGGAGAAAAAGTCCAGTTTTCATTCTGCTCTCCAAACTTCCTGGTCTATATGACGAAACCTCAAATGTTTGCAGTAACTGTGCAGAAGTGCTTTAAGTCAGCCACATCGGACAGTTTTCGAGTATAAAGTTTAAATTCAGAGTGAAGTGTGCTCTTTGACTTCAGATCCACACTTTATTCATTCATTTTGGGAGCCTCGACTTGCTGGTGTCTTGTGGAGTATTGACCTGCTGCATGATTTCAGTGTGCTTGAGGTTCACCTGAAACTGGCCTTTTTCTTCTTTTTATTCAGGTGTGGCTTTGCCTCACAGCGCTCCCACTGGTGACAGTTTTCCACAGGTCTCTTTCTCATTGTTGAATCATGAATGCAGCCTGAGGCAAATTAGGCCTGCACTTGTTCAGATGTTGTTCCCCTTTCTTTTCTGAGTCGATGATGTGCTCTTTCCTCTCCTCGGAAGGTCCAGTACTCTTCCAAGTTTTCCACATGTGTGGATGCAGGCTCTCACTGTGGAGCCTCAGAAATGACTTTGTGTCACAATCTAAAGAAAGAACTGAGAGTTCAGGGTTGGATAGCCGTTTTTCTCTTAATGAATCAAATCAAAAGTCAAAGTGTTGTATTCACCTCAGTCGTCTTTTTCTACTACTGACATTTGTGTGACGATGTGAAACACGCAACTGACAAATATGCAAAAACATGTGAAATCAGGACACACAGCACTATCTTTAGATTTGGCATGCAGTGCTGATGGTGGCCACGTGCTGAGTGACGCTTGGTTGTACTGACCCATGTCCAGTGTGTCAAACACAGTAACACATTTACACCAACAACTGAAGTGACTCATTCTACTCTTTGTACCCAGAATAAACGGCAGCTTTCACCATAAGAACAGGAGGGAAATGTTCTGATACCAGTGACACCTGTCTAATATCCATGTTTCATATTTACATTATGTCAAAATAAAATTTTGGGAATATTAACCTTGTGCAAACAAATATTTGTTCTTTTTCTTTGAACATCCTAAAACATTTACAGTAACTTGCAGCTGTAACATGGTAAAGTTAATAAGTCCTAATAAAGTTATGATTTTTCAGAAGTAAATAAAATCTCATTAAGTGATGAGTGCCAAACTGCTGTCACGACTGCTGAACAGTCCACTGGTGTAATTTCACCTCCCAGTTTGGAGGTTTGACCTCAGAGGAGTTTCTACAGTGTTCGAGGTTCATGGAGATTCTCAGAGAGCAGAGATCGCTGCGACACAAACCTGTCAACACTACGACCGATTTTTCTTTGTGTGTTTATCTTTTCTTTCTCTTCTCCAACATATCAGAGTCCATTATTATAGTAAACCAATACTAGTAAGAAAAAATCATATTAAATACCATGAAGTAGAAACAAAAAGCCGTCGTCCTCACCCACAGCCAGAGAAGGTTCATAGTGTAAGTGGGCTCCTGTTCTTGTTGTAGCAGTGGACCTGTGACTGTGAGCAGGAGTTTACATGATCACAACAGGGAACAGTTTCTTCACTGCATATTGTTGTTATGGCCAAGTTATAAAGATGTTTATGTTAATATTCACACGCTTATCGACTTTTCCTGTGAGCTGATAGTAAAAATGAATACATTTAATGTAGTTTTTTAATGGTTAGTAGTTGTGACCAATGGGAATGTCCTTGTTCAGTGTTGGTCAAGTAATTACTGATTACTTTCCCCAAAAAGTAATCTTGTTACTTTACTGATTACTTATTTTCAAAAGTATTAATTACTTAGTTACTTAGTTACTTTTTAAAAACACGATTTACAACCTGAATAGGTGATAAAGCGATAGATCTTTCAGCCCAATTCTACTTTTTCTGCATAATCCATCATGCAAAATGTAATCAAATGGAAACGTCTCTTTTTAAAACTTGTTTTATTAGTTTCAATCTTTTAAAAAATGTAATTATATGCAACATTCTCTGACTCGAAGAAATTAGTTTAACATTTAAACCTATTTTCTGCACATTCCAGCACATAAAATAAAATATTTTTTGTGTTTACACTCACTCTTTCAAATAGATGCAAGTAAAACACAACAGAAAATAAATAAAATCAAAGACTCAGTGGTCCTGTTGCTCTATTTTCACCTGTAAAGCAGGAGTAGGGTAGGCGGAGGTTTATCCTGGTGCAGGTGTGCCGCAGCGGTCAGTGGAAGAATCCTCGAGTTTCTCTGTGAATTTCCCATTACGTCGTTGCGCACTCGGTGCTTGCTTGGAAGTTTAGGGGTTTTTTTTCGCTGTAAAAAGAAGTTTTCTTCCCACGCACAACGGACACTAATGTTTTTGTCACTTTTTATGGAATCAAAGTCAAAGTAAGGTCAGTACTTCCTCGCTTTAAACGCTGCACACTCATACTCTCTCCCGCACTCTCGCAAAAAATCACGGTTTTAGTAACGCAGTAACGCAGCGTTCCTACGGGAAAGTAACGGTAATCTAATTACCGTTTTTGCAATAGTAATCCCTTACTTTACTTATTACTTGAAAAAAGTAATCTGATTAGCCATCTCTGTCCTTGTTAACCCTAAACTCTGTGGCTCGGTGTAATTTCCTCACTAACTTGAATCACTTTTGTTCTCCAGGGGCTGAACTGCATTCAGTCCAGGCAGAGGCCCTCAGCTTTCAGACCCTGGTCCCCCCACATCTCTGCGGGTGATAAGGAGCCCTCCAGTAACCCGCTGGCTCTGCTGAGAGACAGGTGAGAACAGCACCAAGTCCATTATAAACCTGAGTTCAGTAGATGTGCGGTCTAAGGGAAGCTGCTGCTCATGAGGATGGCAGTTGCTTCACTCAGCTGGGTATGTGGAGCTCCCACCCAGAGGAGTGCTCTCTCACTTGTCTGGGTGGGCTGGTGTCACAGGGGTCAAGTCTGACTGTTCCACAGCTTCCCACACTCTACCATTCACACACATTTGACACACTCATGCCGTGGGCACCCACTTGGCACAGTGCTGCCAGCGCAGTCTGCAAAATATCACAGATGATCTGGCCCAGTTTCTCCTGAAGTGGGAGGAAAGAGCTGCGGGCGCTTTGACTGTTTCCCAACGCGTTTGGCTGCTGAGGCTGTTCAGATTGGACCGTGTAACACAGCAGTAACAATCCGTACTATTGGATCTCTGTCTTGATAATCGCGTAACCTGGATTTAGGTTATTGTATGTAAAGTAACACGCGTCATGCTGGTCTGGTTTCGTTTTAGCTTCTACAATTACAAGACCCTAGAGAATGCAGTGGCCCCCAACGTCGCCCTCACTCCGCTACCACTAGGCAAGGTAGGGCCTCTGTCCCCATCGATACCCAGCACTTCCTACCCAAGTGGAAGCGAACCTCCAGGTGAGGGCGCACACCCCAACACCAGGCCTCGCAAGAGGAGAGCTACCGAGGAGCCCCAGTCCACAGCACATGAAATCCCTGGGCCTGCTTCCTCAGCAGCCTGCAAACCTCCGCTGCCTCAGGATGACAAGGACTCTGAGGTGGAGATCGAGGTGGAGAGCCGCGACGAAGGTAAGAAAAGAACGCTTTAACGATAATCAGATGTGTAAAGGTTGTTTCATTGTTTGGCTAAATACATGTAGCCCCGGTCAGGTGATCGTTTCATCCTCTCTCATCTCCGTGGCCTTTTCCAACAGCTGTTTCGTCCATGTCCTCCCTCTCGTCGCCATCTTTTACCTCATCCAGCAGCTCAGCCAAAGACTTGAGCTCGCCCGGTGTCCAAGGTCCCATCTGCACTATCGCGTCAGCCGAAAGCACGGCACCGGCAGCCACATCGGTGGCAGCACCAGCCCCTGTCACCTCTTCAGAGTCGGGCCTGGAGTCAGAGCTGGAGAGCCTGAGGCAGGCGCTGGACAGTGGGCTGGATTCCAAGGAGTCGAAGGAGAGGTTTCTGCACGAAATAGTTAAGATGAGGGTGAAGCAGGAGGAGAAGTTGGGATCGGCCCTGCAGGCGAAACGAAGCCTTCAGCAGGTAATCCTTGTTGGAAGGCAACATGAGTATTATCCTAACTTTTGTGTATTTGCATTAAATACAAAGTGCCAAGGTAAAGAGTGGAAGCAGAGGTAAATGGGAACTAACACATTTGCATTGTGTGACATGAAGTGGACTACCCTACAGGGGGCCGTAGATTTAAATTTATCACTAATGACTTGTGTTTTGGCTTGTTTTAGCCGTCCTTAACAAAAGCTCTACACTCCACAGAGTGTGCACACACAGGAGATTCACTGAGCTTTAGTAGAAGTCACTGTCGTTCCCCACAAAGCTTAGCATGAGTTGGCAAATGATAACAGTGGCAGCGGATGTTGCTGCAAAGGGAAAGGCCAGACTTCCATTTTTATTTTTGGACCATTTTTGGCAGAACAGAGCCGGTGTGGGTGAGCAACACAAGATGCATGCAGAGAAAGAAAAGCAGCCAGACGCCAGTCTACTTTCACTTTCCATTAGAGCTTAGTGCATATCCATGTCCCCCACAAGCTAAACCAGCAGCAGAGCCTCTGCTCTCCTTCCTCCTGTGTTTAGCTCAGTTCATCCTCAAAGCTTTGTTTTCATTTCAAGTCTCTGTGAAATACAGGCTGTGATGGGGATGGACTTTTAGTTGTCACTGTAGGAACCAACAAAGCTTGATGACAGATAAGTTAGTCCCAGCTGCTCGTTTCCCATGAGAAGGCGATGGGCGTGTTGCCACGGCACAGACTGACTCTCTCTTAGAGATTTAGAGGAAGTAAACCCAGACTCTGTCAGCTGAACTGGCTTAGTGTAAACACTGACACTGAAGTGTGAGCAGTTCAGAGACAGGACTGTGACAGGCAGCGGGGCGGGTCACGTTCCTACGATGCTCATTTAAGATGTTGTTTAAGCTCTGTGGGCACTCCGAGTTTCTCTCAGTGACGCATCCATGTCTACGAACATAGTTTAGTTCATTCCTTTTATTGAAAAACGTGCCTGTTTGGAAGACAAACAGAAAGACTGTAACATTTAAGACATTCATTTCAAAGACAACATATTCTGCTTTAGGACAGAATGCTAAGCAGACCCAGGACCAGCCGTAACTCTGAGTTTGAGCGTGAATGGTAAGAGGCTGCTAACCCCCGGCTGTTGTGTTCTCTACTTTGAAGGAGTTGGAGTTCTTGCGGGTGGCCAAGAAGGAAAAGCTGCGGGAGGCGACTGAGGCAAAGCGCAACCTCAGGAAGGAAATTGAGCGTCTGCGAGCTGAGAGTGAGAAGAAGATGAAGGAAGCCAACGAGTCAAGGATCCGCCTGAAGCGGGAGCTAGAGCAAGCCCGACAGCTGAGGGTCTGTGATAAAGGCTGTGAGGCTGGGCGACTCCGTGCAAAGTATTCTGCACAGGTGATGATTCAGCTTTCAAATCCCGTGTGTAATCCCTGTGAGCCAAAAGATCAGGATGTTTGCTTTAAAGAGCACAGATAAAAGAGGGACAGCCACTGTTGTTGTTTCAGTTCAGCTTTCAGAGATTGGCAGTTCACTGCATTCATATTCTATGAGCAAGCACCTGGTGACAGGATGTAACCTGCTGAGAGAAACTTCTCACTTCCTGAATATAGGATCAATATTCCAGGGAGGCGACGTCAGCTCTGCTTGTGAAAAGCAAGATTCAAACCAACGGACTCCTTTGGGTGTCTTTGAGTACCAACGCTACACACCTGTGTCAAAATTAAGCCGCCCTTTATTCTGCATCACTTTTAGCTTTGTTACAGTTTGAACAAACTTGTTAAAGCATTGGCTGTAAGCCTCGCTCGTTTTAACATTGACTCCCACTTGGAGCCACTGCCAAGTGGCTGTTTGAGGAAACGCAGGAAACTTCCAGGTCGTTCATTCTTTAGCCCTGAAACAACATTTTTACAGTGTATTCTTATAGTTTTTTTGAGTACATGAGCCCAGTTAGTCTGAGTTGTGTAGAGTGAGGTCGGTGCTTTTGACTCCAGACCGTTCTGCTCTCCTCTGCTGTACAGTCCCAGCTGATTTGTGCCCTTGCGTTTTGCAGATCGAGGACCTCCAGATGAAGCTGCAGCATGCCGAGGCCGACCGTGAGCAGCTTCGAGCCGACTTGCTGCACGAGCGAGAAGCTCGGGAGCACCTGGAGAGGATGGTGAAGGAGCTACAGCAGCAAATCAAACAGTAAAAGAGACGGGACACCCAAGGACATTCCCACTGGTGACAACTAACCAAGCAGCCAGCCTTACAGCTGAACCTTTTCCATTTGCCACCATGATCGCCACCCCACGAGTCCCACAGGTCACCCGCATCACACCACTGTTCCTGTGCTTGCCCCTCAGTTTACTGAACACAAAACGTAAGACTTCAAATGGAGACACAGAGAAGAATGGAGGAGCGTTGTCCTTGTGCATGAAAAGTCTAGTGGTACCGTAGAGGAATGACTGGAAGCATGCATTTTCTGAAGCACTGACTTTTGCACCTCTGAACTCGTAGAACTGAAAACTGGAGCACAGTGAACGGCTCTGTAGTGCTGAGTGCGGCTGTGCCTGGATTTTCCTTCACAAGGACACAAGGAGAGGCTGTAGGACTGTGATATAAACTCATAACAATATAACATCAACGTGTGCACCTGCTGGGAGGTGTTACAATGACGTGGCCAGGAGGGAAGGCCTCCACCAGCGCCTCCTGCCACGATGAACCATAGGAGTCTGAAGACATTATAAGCTATTTAAGAGATTACATAGCGATATGTAGAGTACACAAAGAGCGTTTTTCTGTTTTTCTGTGCTATTGGAGGGGAAAAATGAACAAATGGACTTCCCACTGTGCTGCGGGGGTTTGTCAGGGAGCCATCGCAGCCCATTGGGGCGACTCCCCAAACACGATAGGATATGAAAACATGACAAATGATTTTAACATGAAAGATTAGGTTTGGCTTTGTGTTCAACAGGCACATTTTCCATTTCAAATGAAGCCTCAAAAATGATCCCTACCAGTCACTTGGTGACGAGTTTTTAAACGAGCTCTTTTATTGGATGCTCTGCATACACTCACATACAAGTCGCATTTTATTTGAGTGTTTGAGTCCTGAAGTCTGTAACACACTCCAGATGTTTTCGTGCCGTCGCAGTGGGCTGGGTGGTTGGTCTTGTCCGTAACCACAAAGTGTTCATTTGAATTAAAGTATGTACATATAAATATACCTTTCTTTTTTTAAACTTTACAATAATGAATCGCACTTTGTCATGAGGTGAAAACAGCCCCTCCCCCATCGTACTCCCACTATTTTCAGCAATCTTTCTTTGAAAGCATCATCTTATACGCGACTCCTACCATATAGCATTTTGTTGATTATATGCATTTTCAAAAGAATATTGCTGCTCTGTTTTCATTAGGCAAGTATTGTAAATAAGCAGGAAGCCGGCGTTGGGCAGCAGCACACTCTCCAGTCTGACAACAGGAGCACGAACAAACGTTGTATTCAGAAGCCGGAGGCTGTGAATCAGCCGCCACACTGTGGATGCAATACAATCAGAATGTACATTGTGTTGATGCTAGTTTTCCTTTAATTATTGATGTTGTTTTAAATGTGAAAATATTTTATTATTTGTCTGTTGTGTTGAAGTTTTTACTTTCTAAAGAAGAATACTTCAAACTAACAGTTCTGTTCACATTTTTAATAGAAAACTAATTTTCTTTATGCATGAAATTTGACAGCGTTTGCCATACTTATAGTCAGTTATTGGGCATTGATACTGTACATGTAAGGGTTTTATTGTGTTATGCAATATCAAGCAATTTGTCTTATTTAGAAATGTTATTAAAAAAAAGCAACACGTGTATGTTGTTCTTAAGAGAAAATCAAACTTCACACAAAGAAAAAAACTAATCAATGCTGGAAAACCTAAAGTGCCTGAAGGAGGGCCAAAGGTTTCCAGAGCAGGACAGGTGATGCTGAAGCTGTCAGAGGGAGGGGCGTCACATCAAGCCCCGCCCTCGCTCTGCAGCTCTTTATATCAGTATTCTGAGAATCCACCAGTTTACTCGTGTTTCCCTTTCAGCGCAACGAACAAACTTCACAATCCTAAAAAGCTTTGGGCGTTTTTCTGAACGATTTCTTTCCTCGCCCCGTACTTGAAATCAATTATGTGCACGCTGTGGCAAAAAAGCCACCTGCTTTGGCAAATTGTTACTCTGGGTTTGGCAGAGCTGAAATTGGTACATTTTGTAGTTGTTTTTACGAAATAGCTAATGGCCTTACAGTGCTTGTGGTTTTCTACAAAAGAAGGAGACAATGACATTTGGCTTTTTGTCCTCCTGACGTTTAAAAACACATTTTATTTTCTAAAGAACCATTTTGCTAAACGACGGCAGCAAAGCAGCAATAACAGTCCACATTAGTATACTAGCCAGTGTGAAGAGTTGAATAAGAATTTACAAATGTAAATATTTTTTCATTTACGATATTGTAATAATATATGTACATGGTGTTTCCTTTTTCAAAAACTCTTTTCTTACAATAGCTGGTGGGGAGTTTGTTTTTTTTAAACTTTGTGTTTTAACTGAGATGTTTCAAAAACAGTTCATGCATAAGAGAATTTAATCTTTTTTTTTTTTTTTTTTTTTTTTTACTGTAGTCTTTATATGACATGACTTTTTTCACCACTCATGGATTTTTAACAGTGTGTTTGGGATCAGCTGACCTGCAGTACAGGTCGCACACAGCTACACCTACTATATCACCGTGCTGATTCTTTTCCCTTCATCCTCATGTATCTTTTTAGCCCTGTGCTGCTGCTAATACTATATACAGTACTAGAAATATTTTTATGTAAGAGGCGAGCGCTCCCATGTATTAATGCCACACATACAGTATGAAAAGAGGCTTGGCTTATTCATCTATTTCCTTTATTTTCTTGATTCTTCATGCCTTTCTCTTCCAGCGCCACTGTTCCCTTCTCTAACGATACAGATATATTGTAAAGGAAAGGACTTTATGAGATTATGTTTGAAAATAGCTATGCTTATATACTACAGTGACTGAATGTACAGTGTATAGATGCATTACCACAAATAAAGTTGTTTGTCCAGATAGAACGACCTTGCTTCCTGTTTTTGGTGCCTTGTTAGCAAACAGCTATTATTTGCACTCAGTGCCTTTTTTGTTTTCAATTCTGACCGATGGATTCAGTGCAGTTCACAAGGAGACTGCAAGAATACCTCGGTCTAAACCTTGGTGTTGTAAAGTGGAAATACACATATGTCTGGATTCATGTGTTGATAGTTCCTATCTGTGTGTTCCAGTAGAGAAGAAAAATAAAGTGTCCTTTTACCATCAAAGAAAGTTGTGAAGGAAAAAGAGACTGTGGAGAATCAAACTGCAGTTAAGATGAGCTGCTTAATAACGTGGCTGTCCATGTCTTTACCATTAAATGTCCTCAATGCAGACTACAACAATCTTACATGTGTGCTTCTACCGTGTTGTTTGGCACCGCCAACTGAGCTGTAGTTTCAAACCGTGACGCTCCATAAGACCTCTGCTTCAGAGACGTGCTTCACCCTGTCGTCTGCATGTTTGTGTGGATTCTCTAATGAAATTTGAATTGATGATTGTGAAGCTGGTTTAAACATTCAAGGATAAAGTGCTTCTGAACCACTGAACAGTCCAAATGTGGCCTGTCATGTGGGAGGTCAGTGGGACTGCGCAACACTTTATAAAAGCCATTTAATATAAAGATACATAAGAATTATTTTTATCTGTGAATTTAAAGCTACTGTAAAAGACTCCACCTAGAAACCTGGACTTTTGGTGGGGCGGAGCTATGGGGGGGGGCAACCCCTTGCTGTAGATCCACCCGTTCCCCGTGCCCCGGCTGCCCCCAACTTTTATGTCCTTAAAATACTAATTATTGGAGATACTGATACAATAAATAGTGTTAAAGTGGATATTTAGTTTGCTGAATTTACATATTGGGGATCTTCACTGAAGTAGGATGTGCCACCCTACTTCCCTGTTGCCCTTCCTTTGCCCCCGTGCTATCCAAAACCTCTAGATAAAGCAAATAAAGAAAGTAGTCCACAGCTGGGGATTGATCACTACAACAAAGCGTCATCTGGCATGTCCCTCGCTTTCAGTATGACTCGAGTGATTTTGAAGATATGAGTAAGAGTTGGATGTGAAACTAGAAGCTTCTGCTGTTTATGTGCTGGAAAGACAAAATAAACAAATGTGAGACTCGTTGGTTTCATCCTTCTAATCTCTAATTACAGGATTGACAGAATCAAATGAGCAAAAGAAGCAGCTCAGCGCGCTCCAACCAGAACAAGTTAATTAAAAGTGTACCGTGGCCATAATGATGATGAAACAAATAATATACACAGAGCTTCTGTCAGGTAAAACAAAGCTGAGCTCTTCCAGTGCAGAGGACGCTTTTAGCATCACTGAAACACGGCGTTCTTCTAGTTTCACCTTCTGATTTCTTTGTGTGTGCTGATGTGGTTTCAGGGCAGCTTTGGAGATGCCTCCGTAATTACTATGAAAACCTTAAAAAGGAAAAGATGAGCTACAAGCACTGAACTACACAGGAATGTGCACTTAACGCCCACTCAGTCTTACAGCATTTGATGTAAACATTCATTAGTGTGTGCACACAGCGGCGTTACACAGATTTGTGTATACAGTATATGTTAGCCGCAGACTCCTCTCTCTCTGCTCAGTGGAGGTTTGATGAGGTTTACGACATATTCAACCTTCAAATGTTGCTTTTAACTTCATTCTGTGGCAAAATCAAGACAATAGATGCAAACACAGACTCAAGCAAAGCAGTGATGAAACTGAAGTCGTCTGCTACTTCCAAACAAGGCTGCTGTACTTCATCAAACTCCACGTTGGCCCGCAGTATTTCTAATGACCACTTGGGGCAGGGGGCAAAAATCAGTTAGTCAGCTCCGCAATCAGTCAGCCCCTCAATCTTTCATATATATATA